AAAATATTGAAGATACAAAAATTTTGGTTTTGTAATAAAATAAGATAAGAACTATCATTATTTCTTTTAAATGTATTAGTAAAAAAGTTAAAAGATATATTATTTTATTTAATCATTTCCATTAAAAATAAAAATTGCCCATTTTATAGTTTATTTTTCCGAAAATATTGACATTTCAACATTTTATTTTCATCAATTTCCTTGTTTTTAGTTTCGAGGAAAAAATTATAAACTATTCAACACCATAGTGTAATCAAACATGTGACCCACCGCCCGCAGCTCGTACAGCAGGTGAACGATTTCACTGTGCAAATCAATAATCATAATTGAAATAGGTAGTTCCCAATTTTTCTTTGAAGAAAAAGACTTAAATATATAATAATATGATTTCATGATGACAAATAAGGATAAGGTTTAAAATCCTGGTCATCTCTGTATTTAAATAAATAAGAATAACCAATATATACAAAGTTACTACTGTTTACTAAATAAAATAACTTATGAAGAATCATATACATATAAAACTTATTAAAAAAAATAATATGTTAACAGCATTTTTTGTTATACAGGATAGATATAAAAATATAACATTCATCTAATAAGTATACAATAATTAAATTATAAATTTATAAATTTTTATTTTTGACCGTGTACAACAGACAAAAAATCATCAACGTCTACATTCTTCAACAATCGTTGATGTTCAACTTTGGAGACCTTAGCTGGAGTCTAAAAAAATWAATATATACATTTAATATAACAATATACATTTTAAAACATCTATTTAAATTTATAATTGTTTAATGAATAAAACGAGCTATTAAGTTGTTATCTAGCTATAAAAAATGTCTACCGGAAAGTCAAATTAAATTTTTATGAGTGTTTGAATTTCAAATTTTTACAACATTGGATATTCAATCGATTTATCTTGTACCGATATTCTTATTTAGATGTTATTCAAAAATGAATAAATTGAAATCTAAAACACAGATTTATTTTATAAATTTCTATACTTGATAATTTTTTTTAAATGCTTCAACGTTATTTAAGTTATTCATAGACATTTGAAATTTGAAATTTTTTTGGATTTTTATTCTATAAATGTCAATAAAATTTTATTTGATGAGCAAAAAAGCTTGAAAATTTAGTACAAGGTTCTATATAAGTTAATATAATAGCAGTTGGAAGATATTAAAAATATATAGGCATGTTTTTTTTACCGTTTAAAATTCAAATTTTTACAAAATATATTAATTAAAAATTAACAAATTATTTAGTAGTTAAAAATGTATAAAACATTCAACTTTTATAGYTAAGGATTGATAATGAAAACAAGATTTTCACATAAGTAGATAATTCTGCAATAAAAAAAAATCTTTACATTATACAAACGCAGGTTATTTTAAGTTTTAATTCCGGAGTGGAAGTAATGCGAAGCAGTTCCCGCCCGCTCTGGACTTCGTTACCACGAAAAAATAAAAAAAAAGGTTATTTTAAGTTCAAATTGGACGAAATTGCATATTAAATGACCAAGAACAACAATTTTAGTTATTTTGTTGTAATTTAAAAGTATTATTTGTGGGTACTTGAAATTTCTAGAGTATACTTTATATTTTAATTAGTAATATTGTAATAGTTAATGTCGTTAATACTAATACATTATAGTATAATTTATATACATTAAAATACGAATTAATGAATGACTGAGTGAGTTGGGTACATAATGAATTAGATTTGATTTGTTTGGAATTTATTTTGTAGGTACATTAAATTTTTTTTAAATATAATAACAAAATAATTCATAAAGTATAAAATATCCTAGACTGACAAACCGTCTCCACTCAGAATCATTTTTTGAATACAATGATATTATATCATTGAATTCAAATTTAATACCATCCAATACAGTAACCCACATGTAACCTRCTGTACAGCAGAGAGACATGCACTTTCCCGCCTTTTCAATCTTTGCAAAATATTTCTGTCAATAYAATAATTTGAGGAAAGAAAGTCGTTAGAAACTAATACATAATATTACCTTATTATATGATGTTCGATCTGCAGGCCTTTTAGTAGCTTTCTTAACAATATCTTCTGATCTATTTAACTTTTGGAATTCATTTTGTGACCTGAAACATTATAAGTAACAAAATAAATAATACTAAGTTTTAGTTTCAATTAATTACCCAAAAGCTCTTTAGTAATAGAAAATAGTATRTAGGTTGGTAAATGGTTTACAGATATCAAATTTAAAATTACATTGTGATGTATTGGAAAAAAAACATTATAAGTATTTTAAATGGAAATATTTGAATAATGAAATATTTTGTAAAATCAAAAATAAATAATAATTTAGATTATAAAATATGATTTATTACGTTCTTTGTGAAATTGAAAATCGTTCATTTTCTTCTAGCCAATTTCTTCCTTTACTATGATCATGATAGGACCATCTTTTTTCTTCTTTGTACTTAGATCTATATTTATCTTTTATTGAATCATCCCTAAACTCTCTTTTTACATTATGATGATGACTTCTTTGAGAATAGTACCGACTATCAAATTGTGTTCGTTCATCATGGCATCTAAATTTACTTGGCCTATTAAAAAAACTTATATTAAATTATATACATGTTTTAAAGCAAATGGTATAAATTAGTGATTATCAAACAGAGAGCATCAGGGTTCATGAGGGGTTATTTATTTAGTGGTTCTATATGTATAATATATGTAAATTGTATTGAGTCTTTAATATTTACCAGTATTTTTGGTCATATTTATGATGGATTTTATTTTGCCGACGATTTGTTTCCCAATGTCTGTCTTCTCTATGTTTTATTGGATAATTCTGAACAGAGTCATCCCAAAAAGAGGGGCTTCTTCTGGATCTATCATCTTTTACATTTTTCAATTCAACATGGTCTTTAGGAGTGCTAGTCACTGGTATAAGTATTTCGGCATTCTCTAGTTCACTGCTTTCTATTTTGGGAGTAACGTCTAACATTTTGTTTGTTGTTTTTGATGGTGATACAATCGCATTGGATGTCTGTATATTTTTTAATTCTGAGGGTATATCAAGAAAAGTGAATGATTCTGATACATTTAAATACACCATCTGAAAATATAAAATAAAAGTTACGACAATTATTTAGCATAATCCAATAAATAATTAAAACATAAGAAATTRAATATACAAAGAATTTTTTCACAATTCTTTTTTTCATTAAATTGAATTATGGAAGATTAAACAATTGAATAAAAATATTTTTAAGGGCTGAGAAAATTAAGTCACCAATAAGCCATAAGTTTGCCCTGTTTTCATTACGGCAAAAGAAATACATGTAAACACAACGACCACCATGCSGTCACATGATAAGCTATCATTGTACACCAAGTATATTTTTTAGTCATTGCAAATTTGTACATTATTCTATGTATTTGAAAAAAGTTTAAAAATATATTTATGTATTTATTACGTAAAAAAAAAAATAGAAAAGTTATTAATAAATACCATATTCATTTATGGCTACCAGTACTCATGTGGTGTGGATGTAATGAACAACTGTGACTGACAGTGGCCGCAAAAGTATAAAATTTAAAAACTTGAAATGACTTCCAGCGGGTGGCGGTCAATGTGTTAATAATAGAATTGTTAAATGGTGTTCTTACATCTATAGTAACTTATAGCTAGAAGAAATCAAGATAAATTGAAGGAAAATAAAATTATATATAAACCTTGTTGGGTTGATGTCCACCATCTTCATTAATGACTTCATATACTTTTTCCTTTTTTAAATATTCCATATTATTAAGTGAATTACAATCTTCGTTTAACCGAACATCTAATTTACCATCATGTATAACAGTAACACAGGAAGTATTATTAATAATGCTATTGATATTAGGCGATTCAGATCTATCAAGACTGGTGTTAATTTTATTTTCAGAAATACAATTTGAATTATAAATATTACTATCCATAGACATAGTTTGTGAAGACTCCAATGGTAGAATAGATTTATCATGAACTGTATTATTTTCCTTTTTGTTGGACACTTTATTTAAGTCTGTTGTACAATTCTCAGATAATTTAATTTTTTCATTGTTCATTTCAATAGATTTTTTTCCATTACAAAAATTACTTGTTGATATATTCTTTCTAGATTTGTCTAGATTATACATTTCTGGATAAATAATATCAGAATCACTTTTATTAAGTTTAGAAATCTTAATCGCTGGTTCTAAAGTTTTGATTTCTTTTTCTTTTTTGAATTTATAAACTGTGGTTGAAGCATCATTCGAATATCTACTAAGCCCTATCAATTGTT